ACATACTCAAGAATTTGGCAGATATAATTGTAATGTCATTTCTTTATAAATTACTGAAGATTTATGTTTATACTTTCAAAAGTGTTTACAGTGACATTGGTCGTAATTTTATATAATATCTAGTGATGGAGCAAACAAGTCGTGCGCCTGATCGTCGCCTGATAAGTCGTGGTAAGCAACACGCCTGTCCATAACAGTTGCAGTGCCACTCGGAGCTTTAAATCGCAATGATCTGAGGGGCACTGCCACTGCGCCCGTCATCTTGAGACATAAGTTGATAAGTCCCATGTGCCTGTAATTTCACTAACACCCCTTAGCCCGAACACTGAAACGTAATTTTCGTTTCTGCTTGGCAGCAGAAATAGTTATGGCGACAGAAGTTCCCTGGACGACTTCTTTCACGAGCTGCTCTACTGCAACTGACGATATGTCATTTACTATTATTGTTATGCTCCTATGATATCCGCATAGAAACCTAGTCCGCATACGCTAAGTGAGGCAAATTGAAGCGCTCCCAAAGGGCCTACACGAGCGGGCGGGCCTTCCATGCTCAAGGTCAACTTGCACCGCGAACAGCTCCAGAATTTTAGCTAAAAATGACGAAATGTGCGGTAAATGAGTGTAAAAATACGTCAGACAAACATAAAATAGATACTAACATCACATTCCACAAGGAAGTAACGCGTTTCAACTTGTATTTTTATATAAATATTCACTAAAACCGAAAATTAACCTACTACTAAAACTAGCCTACATGAATTTTATTTTTGCCTCAATTGTGACAGTTCGTTTGATATGAAACTATTATTCTATGCGTTATTATTCTAAGCCTGAAGTAGATAAAAAATAAAGAATAAAAAAAATAAAAACTCAATGTAGCAATGTGGTGCTTATACGGCCATAGAAGACCGTGTTTATCCAAGTGTGGAAGGCATATGAATTGATGATGATACAATAAGTGCTGGAATATACGACGCACACCATTTTAAGCTTTCATTTGGTGTAGGTACGAAAACAAAAGAGAAACACACGAAGCGTCAATTTATTTCTCGCTTCACAATTGCTTTTTTAGGGGTGCCTCTGCGCGAGATCATTTTCACTTCTAAAAAGGTTTTATTCCCGCGAAACTGCGAAAAAATGTATCCATCGTTAAATTAGGTTCTCTGAGGGCTTTTTTCTACATCTCCAAATTGTCCGTCAGGGGGCAATTTATTTTAGTGGTCGTTGAGACAGTTGGTGGGTGGAATAGAAATTAAATTGCCTCGTACACTCAGCCACAGGTTGATATACTATACAACCTATCACTGTAAATTTGAACTCTACGCAAATGACGTAAGCATTATCGTCTTAATTCTCACTCATTTATGTACCTGATATTTTTAATAACTTACGATTCTATTAAGCTTTTCGTAGCAGTAGAGTTATTGAGATTTTTTTTGTGAAATACTTCCACTAGTTTTGTTATAATTATTAATTAATACAAAGATCGGACAAAGAAAAATATTTTCGACTCTGTGGGACTTGAATCCACTACCATGCTGCACCGTAACATTGCTCTTGCCCACTGAGCCAGACAGTGAGCATTAATAATACTAGAGACGCAATGTCCTACAAACAGTTGTCTAAAATGTGGGACCGCTTTGCAAATTTAAAGACTAGCTTTGAAACTGATTGAAATTTCAAAGAAAACTATATTTGTCTCATTTTTCCTAATGTCAAACTTATTATGTCAAAATCAGTGTTACCGGTTTCAAATAAATTGTAAATATGAAGAGATGACTTTCTAATCTAAGGAATTCATTGTTTTTCAAGTATTTTTTATTTATTGGATAAAGGTGATAAAAGTACCGTCTTCCGACAAAGTTTCTGTTTCTATTTCTCGAAAACAAATTTATAAAAGGGTAGGTATTACAAATTACTTGATACACAAACATTTAACTATAGTTTATTACAAATTATTAAACGCCACTGTGCATCATTAGCTTGTTGTACCATTGCCTTGTGTTTTGTTACTCAAAATATATTTTCGTAAAAGTGGTCGTATAATTTTTATCGACTCCGCCCTGCACGTTCTATCTTTAAGTATTCTGGGAAACAGACGAAATATAATTTTTAATAGTATTACGTATTAATAATATTACGGTTACACTTTACGTTTAAACGTTACAACCATTGACTTACAATTATATGGACGTCGGGTCCGCGCTAAAAAGTGTCCGAACTTATAGGGCGTTAAAATCGTATACAGAGCGTCATTCACGCTTTAGTCTTTGTTTGTTCGACTGACAGCGAAGCAAGCAAAATTATTTTTTTTTTTTTTTTTTTTTATTGTGACTCGGCAAAATGACTGCACCGCGCCTGATGGAAAGTGCGAATACAGTCCAGAGATGAGAGTAACGGATGGAAAACACAAATATCTTCACTCCGTCACTATCATTTTGCCGGTCTGGTCAAGACAGTACTGCGATGACATTACAATTTAAATTCAACGTTTTAGCTTTTTCATATTCCTTTACATGTCATTACGTTTAAATAGGTTGACTTGGGACATTTTTTTCGTGGTTTTTGTATTAGACCCGTCGTCCATTTATTTGTAAGTCAATGGAATCTCTCACTAAATCACTAGCGGTGACGAATGCAAATACAAAGATCTATAACAAAAACACATAGGAGAATTTCGACAGCTCGGTAATTTGACCCGTAGCTCATTTGGTAAGAGCAATGCTACGGTGCAGCATGATCGTGGGTGCAAGTCCCACCGGTTCGAAGATTTATTCCATGTGTTCGACCTTTTTACTAATAACCATAGCAGTAGAATTGTGAAAGTGTTTATCCAGGGAAAGACTGCAACCCATTTCTGCCGCCAAGCAGTAATATAAGCTATTACTGCATTCCGGTTTTGAAGGGTATGGCTGCTGGTGTGTGATGATGTTATGGATAGACGTGTCGCTTACCACTACGTGCACGACGATATATTAAACAAAACGTCATCACGCTAAAAATACACTTCTAAAAAAGGGACCCTTTCAGTGCAGCTACGGAATAATAGGAAAGACTATTATCACCATAATGGCGATCGGAAGTCACAAATGTATGCTGCTACCATTCGTTGTGTTGGACACCACAAAAGTTACCAGATGGATAGAGGCATTTTTAAATTACTTATAAATATTGTGAATAGTCAAATGTGTAGCGTTCTTATAATAAAGAACAACGTTTCGGATTCCCATGGTCACAACTGACTCACTAAAAGCGGTTACACGCGGTGACTTTAAGCAGTGATGCAAACTCGCGACTGCATCAATACAAACGCGCGATTGCATCGCTACACTTGTGATTTATAGGCGATTGCATCGATACGATCGCGCGTTTGTATCGGTGCAGTCGCGTGTTTGCATCGATGCAATCGCCTATAAATTGTAGTGTGCAAGTATAGCGATGCAATCGCGCGTTTCACGAACGCACGTAACCACTCTAACAGACACGGTTTGTTTGACAAAAAATATACGAGTTTTAAATCTAATTAAAGTTCCATTTCTAATTTATTATAACAATCGCTAAAACCTCGATATTTTTCCAGGGTAAGTTCCACATATTCCCACTGGTGCGGATCCGGGGATCCTGAAAATTTATTCCACAAATCCCCACTGCGTAACAAAAAAAAATGGTATTTATTTCTCCACAAATGGAACACAATACTTAAAAAACGAATAGAAAAAAAACAATTGAGTGATGTGGACAAAAAGGTTAAAGACTCAGCATTACTTTTTCAGTCTTCACCTAGGTGTACACTAAGTAACAACCTACCTTTGGTAATAACTAGTAATAAGTTAAAATTTAATTGCTGTCCGTGTATATTTATATATATTTTTTATACATTTAACCTAAAATTTAAAATTTTACGTTTTTACGAGTTTTAATAAATTGGGGACCAGTTGTTACAAGCAGGTACTAAGTTAGAGGGGATATGTGGAATAAAATTTAATAAAATTTCAGGTTCCCCACAAGTGGGGATATTTAGTGGGACCGTTTTCAGTTACGAACCGGTTTAAAGATACACTCATATCATATAACACATATACATTTCACTGCTGGGCACGATACTTCTCTAAGATGAGGGTTAACCGCATGCGGTTTGGGATCTTTATCGAGATTAGGAGGGACAGGGAGGGAAGTACGTCATGTTTAACAGAAATGCGGCACTTGTGCTGAGCCGGCTCTGTTTAACTGCCTGTCGTTCCTTTATTTTCAAAAAGACATCTTGTTTTATTCTTTCCATTTAAATTCATTGTTATCTGTACTCCTTAAGCTGTTTTTTTATATCCTTTATATTAACTTTGGATGGATTGAGTTGATAAGTATTTTTTAAGAAAGAAAATAATATTAAAATTTAAAGAAAATTATTATACAAAAAGTTAGTCTTAAGGACTAAACATTAAGATTTAAAATGGATCTACACTCAGCATTTGTCGGGTGGTGTATCCAAAACAACCTCACGCTGATATTCCGTGTTAACAGAGGAACGGAAGGAACACCTCCGATAAATTATCGATAACGAAATAGAACTTACATTTAAAACGTCGACTAACGTTCAGTCATTCGCCCATTCATTCATTCAGAAATCGCTCTTAGGCGAATTGTGGACGTTTTGGTGCTGCGCAAACATGTATTTTGTGTTGGATAAAAGCAACCGGTAACTAGAAGCGAGTATTAGGCTGCCTTTCCACCAGAGATGTGCGACATAGCGAAGCAGTGTGCGAAGAAAAATACGACCAATAGGATTACTTCATTTTCCTAGCCTCGCTTAGCGCAGCTCCGGTGGAAAAGGGTTAGTGGAGCTAAGTGTTTGTACACACAAAATAGCGAGAAATGTGTGCGAGGGAAGCGGGCGAGGAACGTGTGCGAGGGATACGGGCGAGAAATGTGTGCTAAACGGTGTAGGAAACTAGAGCTACTGAAAGTATGAAACTAATTGACACTGACATATCGCCGCCGCTCACCCCACCACACGGTACCCCGTGCCCGCGCAGAGCTGAAAATAGTTCGTCACGCAACCTCGCACATCTATGGTGGAAAACATCACACCGTTTCACATCGCGGCTACACACTCTCGCACCGCCGCAGATGTGCGAGGTAGCGAACCTCGCATGTCTCTGGGGGAAAGGTAGCCTTAATCTGTTTACACATTCACCGAAAACAATAGAACAATGAATATCAAAAATACGAAAAATAATAGTAATTCCAAATATGAAAATTATATTAAAAAAGGCATATTGGAATGGAACCCGGGACCTCTGCGAAGCAGTCCAGCATGGTAACCGTTCGGCCTCGGAGGAAGTTTAAACATTTCTTCTGATAATAGTGTTTTAAATAAACACAACATATTTGGTTAATAACAATAATTTCTTATATACTTTTCCAGGAAAATGTAGAGGAAAAAATATTAGGGAAGTAAATAAAAGTGTACGGGAGAAAAAGCGAAAGTTAGGAAGTAAGGAAAACTTCTTAGACACATCGTAGTTCAGTTTACTTAATTTTGTTACACTTAACGGTTCTTCGTAATCAGTTAAAAGTGCGTAGTTTCCTACGTGTGGAGTCGTTATTACTAACATGGCCTCACTCTGCCTTTGTTTATTCGTGTCATCATATATGCAGGAACATATTACAATATTGTTCATGAACAGTCCATTTATGCGTTCCACTGATGGGCACGAGTCCCCAGGAGAGGGCTTAGGTCGTAGTCCGCCATCCTGGCCAAATCCGGGTTGGAGACTACGCACGTTATCCAAGGGTTGTGAACCTTCTTCGACCTGCAGTTTCCTCACGATGACTTCACCGTAAATTTCAAATTGAATTTCACTCATCAATTCTGAAAACTCTAGATCGAGCCAGAGATCACAGATTACTTAATAGTTACTACGTAACAGATACAACACTCTCGTGTAAAATCTAAAATACCTACGCTATAACAACCTACTAAATCTGAGTAGTGATACCAAACGAGGAAAAAGGAACTTAAGCACGCGCTCAGAGAGGTGAAAATAACGTAGCCCGCCGTGTGCAGTCTTGCGGAGCCGAATGCTCATAAATGAAAGACTTGTAAGGGCGCTTGCTTGTCGGCTCGCTCAGCGGTAGGCACTTTGAGCGAGTGACGGAGCTCTGCACTATTTAGAACCACTAGGCTACCACGGCTTTTTCACAATATTATTACATATGCTATAATGTTCGGGACTCGAGAAGTATGTCCCTGTGCGCTTTACAGTCTATGACTGACAATGCCCACTATCAGCATTTTACGCCTCGTGGTTGTAATTTACATCGATCTATCAAATGTATCATAAATCATTACTGGCGTCGGTAATGACCACGGAAGAAAAAACAATGGAAGTACCTCAAGCCTCGATTACATTCAGAACCGAAGTCGCCTAAGCACTAATTTTGTAATCTAAAACACTATGAAATCTAATAATGATTGGTCGTAGTTTCAAATTTGAGTAGAAATAACAAATTCTGGATTGTTAATATAATTTCAACTTTACCCTGTTGGTATATCATTGAAAGTTAAACACCGTCAATACTTATTATTGCTAGTTACGACGTTTTGATATTATATTGAAATTTGAATCAATATGCTTCCATCTAGCGGTTAATTGCTGAACGACGATAAATTGGAGTTATTAATTTAGTTGTCCAAAAAAGTAGCCACCATATTGCTGAGATATAGCTTCACTTTTGTTTCTTGTAACAAAAATATTATTTCGATAAACAGGAAATAGAAAAATTGTTAAAATAAGACTTACTATATCATCATCATATCAGATCATGTGAAATACCACCACAGGTAATATTGGTACGGCTATCACTTTTGCACTCCAAAACAGCAAAATAAAGCATTTTTCTAGGATTTTAGGGAATTTCCACGAAAGAATGTAGTGTCATTCCATACCGTACAAAGCGAAAATGGCTGACTGCGCTCAAGTATGGACAATTGGCCATACAGTGGTCACGCATCAGGTGAATGGTGCCTTGCATACCTTCATGGGCAGCCAGAAAGTGTCTAAAAAGGCACGATTAGCTGTGCATGGGGGGGTGCTGGTTCCTACACTTATGTATGGTAGTGAATGTTGGGTTTGGCAGAAGAAGCACGAAAGTAGAATTAAGGCAGTAGAAATGAAAGCTTTGAGGAGTATGGCTGGAGTGACTCGGATGGATAAATTACGGAACAGTGTGATAAGAGAGCATTGCGGCGTGGAAGAAGATATAGTGACAAAGATAGAGAAAGGGATGCTTAGATGGTTCGGACATGTAGAGAGAATGAATGAAAGAAGATTGACGAAATAGATTTATAAGGCAAGTGTGAGCGGGCAGGTTGGTATGGGCCGACCAAGGAGAACTTATCATGACCAAATTGAGGCCATCCTAAAGAAGGGCCAGATCAAGAGTACCCTTAACCGACGAGCGTGTATGAAAGCATTGATCCGTGTTGATGAGGCGAAAGATGTGTGTCAGGACCGTAGCAAGTGGAAGACTGTTGTCTCTGCCTACTCCGATGGGAAAAAGGCGTGAAGTATATGTAAGTATGTATGTATGTGTGGTCACGCATGTAATGCTAACTAACCACTTCTACTATTTATTGTTCCATGATAATGAGGGAGCCGTTTCTTACCGCAATCATTCCTGCAAGGTAACATTTGCACCAGCATTCATTAGCAAAGAACCGAAATCCTATAACAGCCATTAGAGCAGCTCTTTAAAACATCCGAGGGATATTGCCCCATATATTTTCGTCGGGCGACGCTTGACGTTGATAAATAACAGTGGTCAGGACAGGGAGGGATTAAGCAGTTGGGGGGTCACTAGTGGGGAGTATCACTATGTAGGTATATAGTGACCCCCTATATTCTGTAGTTCTTCTGATCCATTAGGTACTCTTAATAGTCTAAATGAAAAATTGTGCAATGGACTATTTAAGCACCACTTCGTTAGTTAGCGGTTTTTCTCCTAAATGTAGAAAGATCAATCAGCACAAAGGAAATGGATGACCAGATGCAACTTATACGTACCTTTTTGAAAAACACTTTTAAAGCTATAGAGTAATAAATTATTAATACAAATACCGAGCACTTAGAAAAAATCCGTTGATCCGGCTGGATTCGTACCAGCGTCTTCTAGCAAACCGCTAGACGCTGTACCAACTAAGCCACGGAACGAACCAGCGGATGTTACGAATTTGTCTATGTGTTTGTTGCAGTGGCTGAGTGAAGAAATAGGTCTGTCACAGATGGCGCTACGGCAAAAAAGTCGTTAATAACCAAAATGAAGATCTGCAACAAGCACATTTGTGTTTCCCGAAAGCTACATGGCTATATAAGGCTAGAGAGTATAGGTATATTTCTTCAACGTGAGTCAGACACATCGTCGCTTAAAATCAAGTAAGATTGTAGCCACTTGTTTGTCCATTTTAAGACCCCCCCTTATACGGGATGATTTGTCTTCACGATCCGACGACGGAAACGAAGAATCGATAGTGTATGTTTATATAAAAATTTTCAAAACAAACTTTCAAAGATTTCTCACAGGTGCTTAGGCAAAAAAGTCATTAAAAACCAAACGACAAAAATCTGCAATAAGCACACAAAATTGTCGATCTTTGTATTAATATAACAAACTAACTAGTGGAGTAATTTCACTAAAATAATTACATGCAATGCACATTGCATTACATGCAATAAACTTAATTACTAAACAGTATTCTTTTTCACATTGAAAATGGTCTATTCTGGCCTGTTTCTACTAGACCACATATCTTAAATTACGGCTATCTAAGTACACTCCTGTGTAACTACATACCTATATAATGTATACATTATTGGACAATTAAAAATAGTAACCTAGGAACCGAAAGAGCCGTTCAGGAATGATGGATGACATCAAAAGACGTAAAAGGAATAACGTTTGGCCTTTAGCAATGTTGTTAGTCTTTTGGACATGAATTGTTCAAATTCAGACCTATATTTTATTTCCAAATTTGACCAGAGGGAAAAATTGGTTTTTCTTGTACGTAGTAGAAGTAGAGCTTGTGAAAAAGTTCGTCCAGAGAAAGACAGCCACCTTACCTATTTCTACTGTTAATCAGTGTTATGAGCACTACTACGTTCCGGTTAATGCTGTTTTATCAAAATGCTGTTTTTGATATTATAGCGTTTTACTTTGACACGGTATATTTTCGAAATGCAAGTTCCATTACGAATTTTCCATAGTATAATGTCCTACGTGATTCTCATGTGGGGTAAAGCGGCAGATATTCAAACCATATTTGTAT